GCAAATAAATCACATCATTACAAAATAATTTAAATAATCCCACTAAAGAAAAGCTTTTCCAAATTTATATTTTTTTCAAGATAAAACTTACAAAATCAGTTCTTACTTAGATTAATATAAAGAAGGGTAAATAACTTGCACTGACAATATTGGCAGTTAATTAACTGTACATTCATCTGATCTCTTAATAGCTCAAGTAATTCACTGTGTAGCCAGACATTTTACTTAAGTTGCAATAGTGAAACTTCACATACATAAGTAAGAAGTATGGCCCAATAAAACTACTAAAAGTAAATTTTTTTAAGGTATTCCCATTTACTTGGATATTACTTACACTCAGGAAATACTGTATTTCCTGAGTAACTACTTACAGGAGCATTATAAAGTAAAACAAACCACATTATAAAAAATACATTTTGAAATAAATAATCTTGATGTAAACTAATAACTTATAAGTATCTTATTTAAAGGGTTAAATAATGCCTGAAATGTTTTTAAGTTTCCGTGTGCTTATAAGCAGGGATGGTTGTGTAAATTCTTTCAGCAAACACAGTTCACATTGATTACACACTTTTTCTTTACTTTGCCAGCGGATATCCTCCCCACACCTTCACTGCTAGAGGTAGAGCCAAAAAGAAATGTAATAAGATGATTGTCAGCCATCCACCCAAACACTGGTCTGATTGGCTTCTTATCAGTTTGTCTGGTCCTGAGAAAGTTTCACACAGGGCAATGTTTTATCAGCTGCAAACACTGACTGACAAGAGAACAACATGCTTTCACAAAGGTCATGTCTCACGGATAGAGAGTTGTGTCCATATGCTTAAACCTGCATGTGGTGTCATATTTGCATTATAAAAACTATGGATCTTTTTAACTTTAACCCTTTTTTCGTCCTTGGACTGCCTCATATTTAACTTAATTGATTGATTGATTGATTGACTTTATTGATTGCACAGTGGAGAAATTCCGCTCAAATAGTCAGAAAGAGAAATAGAAGGTGCCAAAGGAAGAAAGGGTGCATGGGATATATACAGTATATACAGTGCATCCACATATGACAGCTTTTTTGTTTTTAGTTGGATTATACAGGGTTATTGCACAGGGCGTTTAAATGAGTATTTATATTGATGGATATCTATATTTATATATATAGTTATTGCACTGGCAGTCAAATGTATAGAAGCAGGTTATTGCAAAGGGTATCAAATAGTAATTGCACGTTATACATTTCACAAGTTCTTGCCGTTCTGTCGCATTATAGATTCTGGTTGCAGCAGCGCTCCTTTTTGCAGACAGGGTGTAAAAGTCTTTCACTATAGGAGCTGCTTAGCTCCTCTATAGTCTGGTGCAGAGGGTGGAAGGTGTTTTCCATGATGGATGTAAGCTTGGACAGCACCCTCCTGTCAGCCACTTCCTCCATTGGGTCCAGAGTGCAGCCTAGGACAGAAGCGGCCGCTTTCTGTCCACTCTGCGCTGCCAGGAGCTGAGCAGACAACAGCGTATAGGAAGGCTTATGGCACCACAGACTCATAGAAGGTTTTTAGCAGGGGCCTGCTCACTCCAAAGGTCATCAGCCTCCTCAGGAGGTGGAGGAGGCTCTGACCCTTCTTATACAGGGCCTCAGTGTTATGAGTTCAGTCCAGTTTATTATTGATGTGAACACAAAGCTATTAGAAACTCTATGTCCTGTCCCTGGGTGTTCATGTGGGAATTAGGTGGTCTTCTCCTGAAGTCGATCACCATCTCCTTGGTCTTACTGGTGTTAAGACGCATGTGGTTCTTCATGTTCATGATGACCAATCAAGACTCCAGCTCGATCCCCTCAGAAACGCAGCCTACAATGGCTGAGTCATTGGAGAACTCTATCTATCTTTACCTTAAACTCTGACAGCTGCCCCTTTTTGATTTTGAAGAGCATTCCTACAGCATGATGCCTCCTCCACCATGTTTCACCCTGAAGACAAAACTTTCAGGGTGACATAGGAGTTTTCCACCACACAAAATGTTTTTCAAAATGAACATTGAGAAACAATGTTTCAATTATTGAAATAAAATTCCCTCTGCAGCTGGTGTCTCACGTATGTCCCCTAAATGGCTCTTTGCTGGCAGGTTCCTTCTTGAAAGAAATGTTTGCTGAGTACACAATAAATAGCCCAGTGAATAGTCAAGAGAATTTTTCCACCTGAGCTCAACTCTCTGCAGCTCCTCTAAAGTTATAGGTCTTCTTAAATGCTTTTCTGATCAGTGCTTTCTTTGCCCAGTTTATAACTGTAGGTGAGTATCTGGGTGACATTATTTCAACTAAACTCCTCTCTCAGCATGTGGTAAATGGTGGACTTTTGCATAATTTACAGTTATTTCTTAAGTCTACTCATCTTCTTAAGGAATTATAGACGTTAGTAAAGGAAGTCAGATATTTTATCATTAACAGATACTCCTGACTAAAAAGGGTTCAATAAGAACTGAAGGTTATATCTGAGTGTTTTATAAGTTTCCGTGTGCTTATAAAATGGGATGTGGTTACGTGAATCCCTTCATCAAACCGAGGTCATGTTGATTAGATTAGTTTTATACTTTGCCAGTTGGTGTACGCACCACACCCTCACTGCTACAGGTAGAGCCAAAAAGCAATAAAGAAAGATGGATGTCAGCTATCTGCCCAAACATTGGTCTGATTGGCTTCTTATCAGTTTATCCGGCCATGAGAGAAAGTTTCACACAGAGCAATGTTTTACCAGCTGCAAACGCCGACTGACAAGAGAACAACAGAAGCCAGTAGAACGTTAATAACCAATCACCAAGGTCATGTCTCATATACATCTATTTTTGTTTTGGCCTATTACCATATTCTTTGATCTAAACCCCTCTTTTATCGATCTGGATTAAAGTTCCAATGAAATAACCTGCTCCCCTCATATCCTGAGACTCAAGGGTGCGCCAGTCCTGCATTCCTTATCTCTAGGTAGCTCTGTCAGGTTAGGGTTTGTGGATGGAAGCTGCTGTCCCAAACATGGGAATTGTTTTTAGGAAATCTGAATTATGCAAAACAGAATTTTAAGTTTAACTAAATTAGACTAAGTTTGTCACACTACTGGCTTCTATATAAAATGGGTCGTGCTATGAACTGTTATCTTTGTTTGGGGCACCTAGATGTCACATTGGGTCTGTAACGGGATATTGGTATATAAGTGTCATTAACGTTCCATCCTATTCTTTCTTATATTAAAAGAACGCCATAGTACTGACCACCAAGCTCACAATGTTAACATCCGCACTTGACCCTCTACAAGCTGATCATGCCAAGCTGTGTTTCAATGACTGATATTAACTAGAGTTTGGGTTACACCCTGGCTAAAGCCAGAGATGTCATCATAATTAAAAAATGTTTCTGTATTGCAACAGGTATTTACCACAACCCCCCCCCCCACTGTGGGACAATAAAGGGCTTTCCTATTCTATTCTATTCTATTCTATTCTATTCTATTCTATTCTATTCTATTCTATTCTATTCTTTGACTAATAATTATGGACGAGGTTTACTCCTGGCAACATGTTAAGGGGAGTCAGAGGGTGTTTGCATGTCCCCTCCTGTCTTAATTTCTTTGATCTTGATGGCAAAGCCCTTCTACACTAACATCCTGCTGTCATGGTAACCGTGCACCAGGAAAATGCCCATCATACAGCACATGCCAATAGAGTCCCCCTTACATGTTGAGGTCTTTGGTATAACAAGCTGTAGGTCAACTTGGATGTTATAGACCATCCATTACTGATCAAACTGACCTTAAAGCCTTTGAACAAGTTTTATATAGGTAGTTGTACAACCAGGGAAATGTCTGTTAGCATTGAATTAAGCATGACATATTGATTAGTAAATAAAAAACAATGTTAAATTCAAATTTCCACACCTAAATCATATTAAGGTATAATTTAGAATCTATTATACCCATGATCAAGGTATTTAAACTCCTGACTACAACTTTCTAGATGCAGTCTAACCATTCACCATCAGTGAAAATGACGAAGACCATGCAAAAAGTATCATCTCGCAAACTAAGATAGAATATGCTATATTTAGCTTAAAACTATTAAGGAAAAACAGTAGTTTTTCTTCTTGCTTCCTTTTTTAGGCAGTTGAAATGAACCACTGAGAAAAAAATCACACCCTGTTCCCTTATTTTTAACAAAGCAGAAAATACTGGTTTGAGCACATACGTATTTAAACTCTAAAGATAGAATCTAAAGTCAAAGTCTGTGCAAATACATCTCCTTATTGTCATCACCTATTTACACCGAGAGAGCACAATACCCACAGTTGACTGCACAAATATAAATAAATGTCACGTCATCTGATCTGCAAAGCCATGGTATCAGATGTCACTTGCAAAGGCGTGGCTTTCTGCTTTTTTTAGACAAAAGGTGGACAAAGAGACTTTCATATACTAATTTAGTCAGGTAGGATATCCCTCTGCATCAGGGTACAAGGGTTAAAAAACAAACAGCTTAAGAACAGTGATGTGCAGATGGACACATTTATACTTCACTGCCCCCATGTGCTTATAATCAGTCTTGCAGAGGTTTTTATTTTTTTATTTTCTTTCTTGACACACTGGTTGTAATTGGTATGGCAGCTGACTTTAAGTTGTAAACCTATAAGACGTCTATATTTAAAAGTGATAGCAGCTCCCTACCTTTTATCCTTCTTTTTCTACCACCATACTGTTTATGGTGCCGAGGCCTATCTAAGCCTATAAGGAAAGATGTGAGATGAACTAATGATAAATGTCTTGTCTTCTAAAGGGTCCACAAATAACTCCTTTCAGTCAATCAAACACTGAAGCTAATGACTACATTCATGCATCAATGCAGTTTAAGCCTTGATCCAAACTCAGAAATTTATTTGGATGCAAAAGCTGTTTTATGCAAGAAAAAAAAGCAACATTAAAGGATGCATATTTACAAGAGACAATGCACATTAGAAATCACACAATGACATGGAGAGTGTAAACAGAAGTTTACTATACATTAAAGTTGGATGTTCAGATGATAGGCAACATTGAGTTGGGAGGTGACTCTTGATAACATTTTGCTTCCACAATAGGAAGATGTTTAAGTCAGTGCTGATACATAAATTATCAGCAAAACTAAGACCAGATGAAAAAGAAAAAAAAAATACAGTGACATACCTTCAATGATGTCATTAAAACATAAAAGTCACTGCATGGTTTGTGGGTTTTGGAACATTGGACATGCTTTATTTCAGAACTTTTCACAATTTATTTAAACATCTCACATATACAAAATAGGTACAATAGACTTTGTAGTGTCATTGTTGGAGAGAGAGAGAGAGAGAAAGGGCGCTGGAAACCATTTGGGACTGGACGAAAAATGTGCTGTCAATGTGAACACTGAGAATAGAGCTGGGAGAGTTAAAAAAAAAATAAAATAAAAGCCTGAAAAAAATTTGGACCAAAAAAAAAAAAGTCAGAAACTGGACAAAATAAAAAAAGAAAACAAACAAAACAGAGAACAGACATTAGACATTAGGGGTTTTGAAACATTCCACCTGCTTAAAGTGGGGGGTATCGGTGGGATTAATGTAAGACTCCTCACAGGTCAATACAAAGTAATACAGTAAAAAAGTGGTTTTATTCCACAGCTGCATTTTAGCACCATAGGTCTCTGCTTCAAGTAACTGAGCACTTTCCAAGCAGGACAAAGCATGAAGCACTGGAAGTCTTAACATCTCGGTTGTGGACTCAGGTTTTTGTCAATACTATTTTCTTTGAGTACAGGCATGAGGTAGTTCAAACCTTTTTTGTTCTTGGAAATTGTGGTTTTAAACCTCCTCTTTGGAAGATATACAAAGACCACAAAAATGATGCATACTTTCAGCATTTTTATTACACTTCTTTTATTTTTTACAAAAAACGATGCCATGATGTCCCACAACAAGGTGTTTTCCCGCGTCCCTTTGGGTTTGGCTGTATTAATTTGCATTGCACAAAATCTCTGTTCAGTCCATTTAGTCCTTTCCGATAGTTGCCCATCTTAAGCAAGTGGATGTGCAGAGGGAAGTCAGCATTCAGTACAAAAAACACAAGGGAAGGGCAGAGATTTCTTTTTTTTCGTTCTTTCTCTCTTTTTGGATGTTAATTTATCATAAGTCTATTTATTTGAAACAGACTGGGCCAATGTCCAAACCAAACTCCTGATCAGCTCCACCAATGTCCAAAGGTGCAATGTCGAGGATAGGGAGGCGAGTTGGTTTATTTGTTCTGTACTCAATCACTGTCTTGCTCCACTCACCAGTGTGTCTCTGCAAAAAGTGAAGGGAGAAAAAAAAAATGGAGATTAGACATTGGAAACTTTTTGGATTTTTTGATTCAATGTGCACACCCCAGCACCCAAAAAAAAAAAAAAAAAAAACACTTACAGTGCAGCCGTCCTCCAGCACAGAGAAGGTAAAGCGGCTGTTGCCCTCGGCCCTGAGCTCAACATCGTTGGAGCCTTGAAGCACCACGGCCTTCTTCAGGTTGCCGCTCTGACCATCCATGTAGGCGATGCTGTTCTTGCAGTGGTAGGTGATGTTCTGGCTAGCCTGATTGGAAAGCAGGCGCATGAAAGCCAGCTGGGTGGCCATGCTCTGTGTGCTGATGGTCTCATCGTTGTAGGTAAACTGCAGGATAGAACCAATCAGAAAAGTCAGGATTTTGAAGAGCGATTATATCAAGGTAGGGATTTTTCCTCTTATTTAACTGCATCTGCACCCGTACCTCGGTACCACCATTGATGGTCTCTCCGAACCAGACATGCTTCCTCTTCTCTGTTCCTCTGTACCAGTTCTTGCGTGCAATTCTCTCAGGATGGGCATAGATGCAGGTCTCACGGGTGGTGAAGTCACAGAAGACCTTGATGGCATCGTTGGTGCAGCCCTGGTTGGGGTCAATCCAGTAGAATCCTGAGGGGAAGGTGGTAAAGGGAATTGCTCAAATGCTTTCGGTTCAGAGAGGGGTGGCAAACGCACATATCTTCTCACAACTAGGCTGCTTACCGCTGCTCCAGTCTGGGTGGCTGAGCTTGATGTCACGGCAGGTGCGTGCAGGGTTCTTTCTGGATCCCTCAGGGGTAAGAAGGTTCTCAATCTGAGTGTTAAGAGACTTGATGGTGGCATCCACTTCATAGTCCTTGGCTCTGAGAGCTGGCTGATCAGCTCTGTACTCATCGTATCCGGAGACGTCGTATCCGCCACCAGCAGGGCCAGGAGGTCCAGGCAGACCAGGAGATCCAGGAGGACCCTACAATAGAAAATGGAAGACATAACGCCATGGATTAACATGATTAAAAACAGGGGAACACAGCTATGAGAAGTGAAACTTACAGATGGTCCAACATATCCAGGAGGTCCACGGGAACCAGGAGAGCCCATGGGACCATGTGTGCCAGATCTACCATCTTTACCAGGGGGTCCATTGGGTCCAGAAGGTCCCTAAACAAAAGATGATTGCCTGTTTAGAGTATTTAAAAATATTTAACACCAAACAATTAAAGAGTGCTTTGAATTTGAAGCCACAAAGAGTCCTTAAGCATGTTAACTGCTCATTTTTCTGTAATGTATGTAAAAAGAAGTCTGCTAGTGTAAAATAATGCTTAATTTGATTCATCTATAGAGTAAGAGTTTGGTTCTGGGAATAAAGTCAATCGCCCAAATAAACTCATTCAAGTTGCAGGCAAACAGATTAATAGGATTTGTTGATTGTTGTGATGCTAACTTCCAGGAGCAATACACACTGATAACAACGTATTTATTTAATGTGCCTTGAGGTTATATCACAATTTTTACCACTTGTTAGATAACCACACTGTCAGAAGTGCTAAGGAATAGCTTATTTTCATAATTAATTAGACAATTTGTCTGTATTGGATACTGGGGGTGATCTGAGACATTTCCTGTGAGAATTACGAATCCGGGCACATTGAAATATGACTGGGCTTCAAAAGCTTGTTTATTGGAAGGCAGTAGCTTAATTCCAACTTGCATAATCAATTTAAAAAAGAACAAGGTCTCAGTATAAAACTCACTCTAGGTCCAGCAGCTCCAAGGGCTCCAGCAGGTCCGGGCTCTCCAGGAGGTCCCTGGTGAACAAGCAGGATCACAGATCAGAGAGTTTTCTGTAGGAGTCTGGGTATTTATGGTGTGGCTGTGCTTATTTTCAGCTTAAATGCTGATCTCAGGTACTCACAGAGGGTCCAGGCATTCCCTGGAGACCAGGGTGTCCACGCAGACCCTTCATGCCTCTGTCTCCCTTGTCTCCAGCAACACCCTTCTCACCACGAGGTCCAGAGGGTCCCTACAACACCCAGGTATCAACCATTATTTCAGTAGTTCCAAATTGTCATGCTCATGTACTGTTACTTTTCTTGATAGAACCAAATTATGCAGTAGTTGTTGTACTTACAGGGGCTCCTCTGGCTCCAGCCGGGCCAACAGCTCCAGAAGGACCTTGTGAGCCCTAGGGACACATTAATTCAACCACAGATATTAATGGAACAAGCATATAGGTGTGAATGTTAACCATATTATTAGACAAAGAAGAATGATAACTACAGGCTCTCCACGGTTTCCAGGTCTGCCGGCAGCTCCACTTGGTCCAGCAGGTCCTGGAGGACCAGCGAGTCCCAAGGAACCAGGAGATCCAGGCTCACCACGATCTCCCTATGCATAATAGACAAGGGAACATGAAGCTCAGAAGAGACTGCTTTCCTTCTCTAAACCAACATATTTAAGGGTATCTTCAGGTCATTACCTTGAATCCAGGGGCACCAGGACGACCAGGGGGTCCATCGTTTCCAGGGCTACCCTGTTATGGACAACGAGAGGATATATAGGCAAGTTGCACAAATTTTCATAAACAAGCTTTGTGATAAACATATAAAATTCTCCATTGCATCTATTTATATTCTAATAATTGGTCAACGCAATAATATTATTTTTTTTCTCATTATAGACAGAAAATGAATTTAACCCTGGGTACATGCAAAAAAACTGAATCAATGTAGAAAGAGAAAAATAAACAATTCATATTGTTGGTTTGCATCTTTTAACCTTGAGGGTAAATATTGTGCAAAAGAATCTGGGTTTGCAAAGTAACATGGCTGAATCTAAAAGGACTGGTTGCATGGATGGATTGCAGTCAAGCCTTATCAAAGTGTTTCAAAAGCAACTGTTTCCTGTATTAGAGCCAGAAGGTGCCAAAAGTGTTTCTCCATAAGTGTAAGAGAGTAGTAGTTTCTGCTAATAATTGGCTCTCATCCCTACATTCCATTCCTGGAGGCAGCATTGAGCATCAATTATTCAGTGATGTTCTACATCAGTATCTTAATTAAATGAGGATTTGTATTTCATCTATGTCAAAACATGTATGTAAGGAAAACAAAGTCTTGTTTTAGCCAATTTTATGTTTTCGGTAAATTAAATCTATGCTGTACAAAGTAGCATTAAAAAAATATATCCAAAGAATTTGTTAACTTTGGATTCTGTGCTTCGGGACATTATCAGAGCTTTTAAGTTCACAGTTACAGGAGGTGGTAATACAACTGTAACTGTATTATTGTATCTGTAATTAAGAATATCCCAACTGAAAAGATTGCTAAGATTGGGAAGAGATTACACCACAGTCATAGATTTAATTGCAAATGAATTAGCAAATTAATAAATAGAATGCCTGTAAATGGCAGGTATGGTTAGAGATGTTGATCTAAAATCTTTAAAAACATTGTTGCTGACTTTCTGGTGTGCAGCATTCCAGTTCCACAAAGGCTGTTACATGTAAAAAATGCTTCATAGTGTTTGGCTTAAATGTGCCAATGATATGGTTTATATAGTAAAAACAAAACCAGGTTTTATCTGCGCGCATAGTTAAAACTGTTATAAAGGAAAAACAAGCAAACAAAAAATTTAACTACCCTTAAGGAGGTGGAGTTATCACTCTATTGCTCTCCAGAGAGAATTTTCTGGTAATCAATATGGTAGCTGTTATTTCTACTGAAACTAAGGGCTTGAACTGCTTTTATATAAAAACATGTCTTTTGGGAAAAGAAATGTTGTTTGGAAGCTGGAGTTTATATAATGCTCCACCTAACAAATTGACTGGAATTGTTTTCAGGTTTCTCTCCAACAACTTTCTCCTAACATTTTTGGGTTATAACCACTCAATTGAATGAAGTGTCCATCTTTTACATTGATAATGACATGATCAGAAGTGGTGCTTTGCTCCTGTTTAAACAATAAATAAAAAGCTCTATAGTAGATAGAGCTCTTGTGTTCATCAGCTCTACTAATGAACCAGATTTGACCTTAGACTATTTACAGTCTTGAAGAGAAACCGACTTTTAGGCCTTCTTCATGTTTGACTTCCACTAGTTCCTGTTCAATTCACCGTTGTTCCTAATTGATTGGCTCAAGTTTTGCTGATCTTTTTACATGATTCTACATCAACTGAGAAAAATATATGTTTTGTATTTTATTATTAGCCAACTAACTAGCTAACTGGACAACAGTCTGAGTAGGTGTTACCTCGCGTCCAGCCTCTCCCTGAGGTCCGTTCATACCAGGCATGCCCATGTTACCAGGGGCACCACGAGCTCCAGTTACACCAGGGGGTCCGCTACTACCAGGGGGTCCCTGTAAAATTAACAGAAAATATGTTGACACATTGACGATGAAGAAGCAAATTAGACAGTAATTAGTTACTTGGTTCTTGCATTTGAAGCTCACTTTTCGGTTTATAGAGTTAAAATGTAACAGGTGAGCGATTGCATGATATTATAACATGTCTAAAGGGAATCTCTGGGGTATTAATTTGCACTTACAGCAGGGCCGGGACCACCAGGAAGACCAACTTGTCCTCTACTACCTGGGAGACCCACAAATCCTGGAGGTCCAAGAAGTCCAGAGGGTCCAGGAGCACCAGTAGATCCCTAAAGAAAAGCATAGGCACTCATGATTAACTACTCTAATAATTTGTTGATGTGCAGGAACATTATGTGAAATCCCACAAAAAAATCTATTTTCTAAATTTCTCCAAAGTGATTTCTTTACAGAGACTTACAGCAGGGCCAGACTCTCCAGATGGTCCCTTCTCTCCAGGAGGACCAGGTGGTCCAACCATCCCCTGCTCACCAGAGGGACCAGCAGGGCCAGGGTCACCACGGAGACCACGAGGTCCATCTTTGCCAGCAGAACCACTGGGGCCAGGAGGTCCAACAATACCCTGTGAAGGAGCAAGATGATGATGTTGGGTCTGCGTTTGTGTGAGTTTATGAAGTATTGCACACTGTAAAAGAAAGTACTCACAGCAGGACCAGGAGCACCAACTCTACCAGCAGCACCAGGTAAACCAGTCAAACCCTGAGCAAAAATACACAGAAGTTAGACAGAAACAAAATATGTGGGCATGTGTTTATATTTTTTACCCAGGAACCTGAACAAAACTAGCATTAGAGAATGAGAAATATGGAGGAGGCTAAAAGGATGCTATTACCCTGAATCTAGTAAATCATACTGCTGTTCAAACATCTAACATAAGACAATAAATGTTTTGGTATTCAACCAAACAGACTATAAATGCGATGAAGAAACAAAATGCTTTGTTTAGATACTCACTGGAGGGCCATTCTCTCCACGAGCACCAGGAGGTCCAGCAGGGCCGGCAGGGCCCTAGACACAGAATAAAAAGGACAATTTCCTTTATTTATATCATATGATACTATTTAACCTGCAATTGTTAGATACAACCAAACACAGAAAGCAAGAGTTTGTGTCTGCTTACAGCAGGTCCAGACTGTCCAGAAGGTCCAGCAGGGCCAGCGGCTCCAGCTTCTCCCTTAGCTCCAGAAGGTCCACGCTCTCCTCTGGCTCCGGGCTGACCATCGGCACCCTGTGGGACAATCAAGGAAAGATACATTAACGTCCGCACAATCTTGTGAGTATTTGGAACAAATCTGCAGATATTTAATCTCAATCTCTTTCTGATACAATTCTATTATAGCATCAGGCTTACAGGGGGGCCACTAAATCCAGGGGGTCCAGGAGGGCCAACCTCTCCACGCTCTCCCTGTAGATAACAAGCACATTGTTAAAAAAAGGCTTCCAAAGACCATGCTTTTTGATGACAAAAGAGGTTATGTGTATCATCAAAAAATTCAATCAGCAAGCACTCACAGATTGTCCACGAGGTCCAGGAGGGCCAGCGGGTCCAAAGGAACCCATCTCACCCTAAAAGAGAGAAAAGACAGGCTAAGAAATCTGCCATAAATAAATAATCCACTGCACTTTTTAAATACACTAATACCAATCAAAAATATTTCCTATTCCATTTAGTTAAAATTTTACAAAAAGCAGATATTACAACTGCATGTTTTTTCTATTTTCAGGAGCATACCAACTGCTATCTTTTATTCAATTGGAGCTGGATTATTGTCTCAGTTCATAAACTAGCCACTAGATGGCAGGGGCGTGACTACTGTTACGCCCCTGCCAATTACGTTATGCTGCGGTTTAATTTCGATTTTGCACCAGAGTGGAGACATTAGTTGAAAATGAGCTGTGAGTTTATTCACATATATTTCTGAATTGGTTTAATCCCAACTGCTTCTCTTGATAGCTTAATGTTGTAGCTAGCTCTGGTTTAAGGAGTCTATGCTGTGAAGCATTGGCAGAAGTCATTTCTAGGAGAGTTTTCTTCATACAGTGTTTTTTTTATGTAAAATCGTGAACTAATGTAAATGTGCAAAGTAAGTTAGTTATATTTACATATTTGTTTGCAACTAATTGACTGACTGACCTTATCACCATTGGCTCCAGTGGGTCCAGGAGGACCGGGAGGTCCTTGAAGGCCCTAGTAGGAGATACGATGAAATAGTAGGTATGAGGCACAGGCAAGAAGCATTGTTTATTAAGTCTTCATTGTCCAAAGAACAATAAGTTTAACCTACACGGGCTCCATCTCTGCCAGGATTTCCATCAGGGCCTCTGTTTCCAGCCTCTCCCTGAAAAACAAAAGCAGTGGTTTAAGCAGGTGAGCATATAATATGATAGAAAATGAATGGAGGGTAGATTTCTTCCCCCTCTTAAATTTACCTTCTCTCCCTTGCCACCTGGAGCACCAGCTATACCACGCTCACCAGGTGAACCACTAGCTCCTTGATGTCCAGGGGCACCAGCATTCCCAGCAGCTCCAGGCTCTCCCTGGCAGTGGAAAAAAATTCATATCCTTTTATCTATCTCTTTTGTTTCTTGACTTTATATCGATTTATATCATAAGAGTTACTAAAAATCGTGTTTTCTTTGCGTTACCTTTCCACCATCAGACCCAGGGGGTCCAGCTGGTCCACGGGGTCCAGCTTGTCCTTGAGGCCCAGTTGCTCCAGCAGAACCTGGGTTACCGCGCTCTCCCTGCAGCATTTAAATGCATAAGGTCTTATTCCTATTCACTTGATAAGAGAGCTGCTGGTTCTAGAATATTCACGTAAAAGCAAAGTGATCACACCTTGGCACCAGCTGGCCCAGCTGTTCCCTGTTCTCCTGGGATACCCTGCAAAAACACATCAATTTAGTTCGATCTGGTTAGTCTACACTGAAACTGGTACCGCAACTGATGTAAAACTTGCTTTATGTTCATTTGCTTACTCTTTCTCCGGGCCTGCCAGCCTCACCAGCAGGTCCAGCAGGTCCAGGCAGACCCTAAATAGAGGAAGTAGCACTATAAGATCCAAAATTGCTAACCAAAAACCAAGAGGAAGCCAGTGAACAAATTTTTTGGTTTGAAGAACCAATACATAAACTGGTACTAACACATATGGCTTTATTACGCAGATCATTCCCTTAGATGTAAGAAACTATGGCTATGACATAGACCGTGGCTCTATACTCAATGAATTGTGGCTAAAAAGTGAAAGATTAAAAGAGGTCCATAGAAAACATTTTTATAATTTCTAAATGGTGCTATGACAATAAGTGTAACAAGTCAAACTTTCAACATCTTAAATTAGGATAAATTTCAACAGCCCCTATGGAGTCATTAACACAAATTTTACTTAGCTAAATTAAGTTAAAGGATTGGAGGTTATTTACAGTAATCAAAAAGAGAAACAGTTCAAACCTGGAAGCCAGGAGCTCCGGCTGGTCCCTGCTCTCCCTTCTCACCAGGACCGCCCTACACCAAGGAGAAAAAAAACAGTTGACTGTTTTTAAATTGGTGCTAATATCATATAATGCATGGTCCATTTGATAGGCCATATAATGGAGTAACTTATGTATGTAAAGACACTTACAGCTAATCCCATAGGGCCAGTGGCTCCGTTGTTCCCATCAGGTCCAGGGGGTCCCTAATTTAAGAGATAACAACTTAATACAATTCAGAAACAAGCAAGTAAAAAAAGAAAATAAGCAAACATCTTTGTTTTCATGGCATTAGATCTGCTGGCATACCCTCAGTCCAGTGGGGCCACTGGGTCCCTTCTCACCAGGCTTGCCAGATTCTCCCTGAGAAAAAATAGGATTTAAATTTATGGCATAGTTCAAATAAATGCATACAACTCAAAATGCTTTTCTATTTTCTCAGGTCCTGCCTAATGTCCACATACAGATGCTCCTTTGGGTCCAGGGAAACCAATGTTTCCGGGCTGGCCTCTAGGTCCAGCGGGGCCAGGAGGTCCAGCACGGCCATCTTGTCCGGCAGGACCCTGAAAGAAGAAAATGAGATGATGATCTATCAATATGAGGAGAAATGTGTCTTTAGGTCACAAGATCAACAGTTAAACTCTAAAGATGGTAAAAATCAGGTTTACTCACAGAAGGTCCCTCCTTTCCTGGGGGTCCAGAGCTTCCAGGGCTTCCTGGGAGACCCTTTAGCAAACAAATATGGACGTTATTAGGATATACCACTATAGCGGTCTACCATTTCTACTTTGCCACTTGAATGTGGCCCATTTTCCATCTATAAGCAGAAACTAGTAAAAAGACTCACTCTTAGACCAGCAGGGCCAGGTTCACCAGCACGACCAGCATCTCCAGGGGGTCCACGCGATCCAGCGGGACCAGTGGCACCACGGGCACCAGGCATACCCTGTCATGGTCAAAGAACAGGAGAAATTAGGCTCAGAACCTTACATAGACAAACAAGGGAATCTTGGACATAATGCTTACAACTGGGCCAGCTCTTCCATCAGAACCTGGAATGCCACGGGTTCCGGGAGCACCCTGAATGTGACACACAGGTGTTAGAAGCTGAAGCTATCTAAAAGGTAAGACATAACCATTACAGATGATGGTAGAACACTTACCCTAGCACCACGGTTGCCAGGAGGCCCATTGGCACCGATCTCACCAGTGGGTCCTCTCTTGCCTTCCTCCCCTTGAGTTCCAGGAGGTCCCTGGGGACCAGCGTTGCCCTGAAGAAGACAGTAAAGAACTTTATCATCAAGGATGGATTTAGACTCAGAGTTTTTTCATTTTGAATTAGTTATCATATGAACTTACAGGCTCTCCTTTGGAACCAGTGTCTCCCTTGACACCCTGAAGACCAGGATCACCCTAAAAACATACAGAGAAATAGATGCAATTCAACCAACGAACCATCATATATCTAATGCTCTGAATATCATTGTGTCATTTACCAGTAATGGCTCAGACTAGTTTAGTGTGCATTACTAAACAGCAGGATCATGTCTGCATTTGGGCCTGCAAAGCAATAGGCTATCTCTCTTAAAGCTTCTGCAGTACATGCGTAACTTAAGGTCACAGATTGTATAGAAAATACAAATGTTTGTGCATCCGTCACTTTAAAAACTTGAATATCATTGATACCATGAGATAAAGAAACTCCTAATTGAAGGCTGGATAGTGCAAAGCTGGATATGGATAACATTTAGCAATATCTAAAACAAATAACCAAATGGATGAATCTCTGCAAGACCCCTTATACATCATCACTACCACTTACAGAAGGTCCTCTTGGTCCAGCAGCACCCTGAGGTCCCTGAGGTCCAGGGCCTCCTCTTGGTCCAGGGAAACCGGGAGCTCCAGCAATACCAGGGGTGCCCTTTTCATGAAAGGAATGGTGAAAGGTTAGCACTACACCTTTTGGAGTCTTTAATAACAACAAAGTGTTTAAAATAAAAGCTTTTTGTTGTGTTTAAATTAAACAGATCATAAGCCAAAACAAGTTTAGTGCCAAAACCAAAACTTATTAAAGATTAATCAAACAGAAGTTGACAGAAAAAATAAATTTAACTGAAGCTAAAATGCAGCTCCATACCTGAAGGTGGCTATAATGCCTCATCTAGCAGTTCTGAACATTCACAATTTATATATACTGCCTGTATCTGTGTACAAGCCTTCCTGCTGTATCTCAATGTATATGGTATGTCATCACATAATATGCAAACAATGACTGCTGTACCAGAGTGGATACTTACAGCAGCTCCCTTGGCTCCATTCAGGCCATTATTACCAGGGTTACCCTGTGGACAGAGTGTACAAAAAATCATTCATTTTCATTATGCATCTTTAAATAGCTCAAAATGATAACAAATGTAATCTCAAGACAATTTACAAACAGGTTGAATTCAATTACACTTATATAAAAAGCCAATGAGGCCCAGATGTAATTCTAATCATTCCATCCCAAGACAGTACATTGTAGTTGTGCTTTCCCATTCAATACACTTTGTGTTCACATTATAATAATCTATATATAATTATAATTATAATAATCTTTATATAATATAATTATGATACTTTCTATTCACATTATAATAATCTAAAATTGTGGTTCCATCTTAGTATTTTCACTAAGTGTTTCATTCCTCAAAAAGTTTAATGTGTTTAACATAATTTTGAAACATAATTCTCTTTTTTTTTAATATGCAGTTATATTTAAACCTATTAAGGTCATTATAGAGAATGGGAAGAAAAAAAATGGACGTAGTATAAGTAGTCAACTATTTTAAGGTAGAATTCTACATTTATTCTCTTCAAAACAAACATCCTTTTTATATTCAAGTCTATATCAATGACTTATAGTCATCTTCCGGACTAACACAGTTTCTTTTTTTTTTTTTTTTATATGCGAGTTGACCGTCCCTTTATCTACTTACAGGAGGACCAACTGGTCCAACAGCACCATTAGGTCCGGGCTCTCCTCTAGACCCCTGAGGTCCAGATGGGCCAGTGCTTCCAGCGGCTCCAATCTCTCCCTGTAAATGACAATGTTTAAATTATTTTTGCTTTTTCTGGTGATAAAGAGAAAACATTTAAACTTATTTAAAGATATGACCTTAAAAAAAACACAAAAACAAAAAATAAATATTTATAGTTGGGAAATACAACATTGGTGTCTTTTATTTGGAGCTATATTGTAAAGAAGAATCACCAATGTGTTTAAGGATTTGACTATACTGGCCTCTTTTTTTAATAACAAGTTATATATGCAATAGGAAGTGATGAAAGCACGTACCTTGGGGCCGGGACCACCGGGGAAGCCTGGGGGACCGGCAGCACCGAGAGGACCCTGGATAAAAGAGCAGAAACAACCATGGTGTAAGGAAAACTCTCACATCAGCAATATCTCCTTTTTGGACCTGCTAGAAATGAAGAGTTTACTCACAGCTGGACCAGCAGGTCCGACATTGCCATCAGAACCACGAGCACCAGCGGGACCAGCAGGGCCGGGGCGACCCCTCTCACCAGGCTGACCGCGTTGTCCCTGAAAACCAAACACATCCAATGGCGTCACTGGAGCTGCTTTCTTTATACGCCCTGCTGTCTTTTCATCACTAGTCAATTTGAACAAACAGATAGCTGATAAAAACACATCTAAGATAATGAAAATTATAGTAGTATCAGAAACTTACAGCAAGTCCAGGACTTCCAGAAGATCCAGGGGAACCAGACTCACCCTAAAGGAGAGGTAGAAAAAAAACAGGTCATCTATATTAACATTTACCTGCTGAAGTAGATCAACGAGGCAGGCTTATAAAAAGAAAAAAAAAGAAAGGTGAAGAGGTTATCTGAACATTTTATGGTGGCTTACCTTGGGGCCAGCAGTGCCAGGTTCTCCTTTGCGTCCATCAATACCATTGTAACCCTATAATGCAGAAGAGCAGAAATGATAAGAGTCGTATACAAATAAAATTTAGATTAAAACATAACTAAAACCCTAATTCACCAGCTAGGATATTAAAATGATCAACATCACCGAGGAGCTCTTGAAAAGAGATTAAATGAGAATTAATTTACTTTCCTCTTTGCTAATGGACTAAGTACAAGAAAAGACTCTATCAAATTCAGTTTATTAGGAAGTCTTTATTTCTGAATGCAGTCAGTATGAAAGGCACCAGCACTAAAATGTGTGGTTCTAGTTCCAGTTCCTGCAGAGAGGCCTAGACTAAGAAGGTCAACTGAGGGTAAAATGCTCACTCTGTGTCCCTTCATTCCTGGAAGTCCTGGGGTTCCTGGGAATCCACGAGCGCCCTGCAATTCAGAAGCAAAGAAGAGTTATGAAGCTGTCAAAAGCAAAGAATCTTCATTCAGAAGATTACATTACATCTCCATGTCTGGGTAAAGACCTCTTACCTGAGGGCCAGGGGTACCTCTGTCTCCGGGTTTGCCAGGCCTGCCGTTGTTTCCCTAGAAATCATCAGGAAATGCACCATTTGATGTTTAAAGATGTAAAAAAACTACAGAGGCAACCTTAATAGATTAAGAAATAGTAAAGACAATGAGGACACAAACTCACATCTTCTCCAGATTTGCCAGGTGGTCCAGGGGGTCCACGGGGACCAACAGGGCCCTGGAAAATGGAAGCCAAGTATTTCAATTTTAAATATCATAACAGCAACTAAAACAAATGGTAGGATTTCAGGGAAATCGCCTTACGTCGTTTCCAGGCTGGCCAGGCTCACCAGGGTGTCCTGTCTGTCCTTGGGGTCCCTATTGAACAACAGATGCAGTATTAAGAAAAGGTCTAAACACGTTTTTCCCCATCGCTGTGCCTCAGTGGGCATCTCAACTTAATCTAACTTCATCATATGGGATTGATAAAAAGTTTTTGAATAGAAATTTTATTTCAAGGCAGATTTTGGACCTACCTGGGGTCCGGGCATTCCAGGGGAGCCTCTGGGTCCTGGTGGTCCCTGATAAAGAGAAATTAGTTGTATATTAATTCCAAATCAACCTATATAAGGGATTCAGACAGACTTTTTGTTCATATATATTATGTTGAGAGAAAATAGGAGATAGGGGGATAGAGTGGGAAACTTACTGGGGGTCCAGGGCCAGGATCAGGGGCCTTGGCACCATCATACTGAGCAGCAAAGTTCTGTCGAGCAGTTGAAATAAAACAACAATTAACTCATTGTAATACATCTATAAACCAGTCAATACCACATAAAGGTTACTCTCATCCCTGTTATAGTAATTCAAACCTATATTAAAAATTTTACAAATGTACTAATTACAACAGTTTTTAGCTTTTGTAAACCTGATTTACATGCCATATGCCAACCAGTGCCCTAATTGCACATATGTTGTCATTAGAGTAAAGGGGCAAAAGGTAAGACGTCAAAGACCAGGCATTTGTTTGCCATGCAGCTGAGATAAACCCACTTTTCCATGTTATAATAGTCATTACTTTCTTTAATTTTAAAGAAAAAGTTTCTGGTATGATCTGCATAATCCTTGAGCGTAAAAGATAGACTTACTCCTCCAAGTCCAGGGGGGCCTGGGGGGCCAGGAGGGCCAGGGAGTCCGGGTTTGCCATCTCTTCCATTTGGGCCCTGAGGACCCTGGGAAAATGAAGACAACCCAAGTGATGACGTGTTACCTCAGACCTATCACTGTAATTAGATGGGACTATTACAAGTTTTAAAATGCTGTAGTAAAATAGTTTGAAGTAAAGTCTGTTTAATAAAGTGGAGAAAATAAATGTGTCTGATGAGAATTTACATTAAGAATTTAATTAAGGCCTACAATTATAATGTGCCTTGTAAACAAAGGAGAGTGGCAAACTGAGGTTAACGGGTCAGACGGCACCAAGAAAACTCTTCACCAATGACACGTCATGAAGAAACTGTCTCATTGGATGCTGTATTTATGAATTCGCTTGACAGATCGAAGGGAACAGAATTTGAGTTCAGCTTACCCTGTCACCTCGAGGTCCTTTGGGACCCTGCAGCACAGAAATCACTTGATCAGACCACAACACAGATAAGATGGCTCAGTTTACAGCTTTAGCATGCAAGTATTCCTCTCACAATGCAAACCAAAGCATTTGACATCAACGACTGATAGCAAAACCTTAAAACACTGAACATAAAATTGTGTCTGCAGGTTTGATCAATTGGTAGGGATGGACACATTCTAAAGAATATTGTAAATGATCTGATAAGAAAACTTGAAACTGCACATATCTTTTCCAATCCAGTGTTTTATGGATCTGAAATCACACATTTAGACTCATTGATTCATATTATACTATTCTATTACATTAACTACCATGTAATAAAGAAAGACAAACACATTTATGCATATTTTAGCAGGCTTTTGTCTTACTTTGTGAGAACCAGGGTGTCATAAACCCATGATACATACAAACTAGAGAATAATAACACAATAAGGGTTGAATCACATAAAGCCTATATAGTATAGTAAGTTGGCAATTATGAGAATAGTATCTCATGCTAGGTTTGTTCACCATAGTGCAAAGCCATAATGAGCAGCACGACAACTTATTTGCACCACAAAGATGCCCATTAAACAAAGTGCAAGGTGCACCTTGAAATGCTGTGGTAATGCCAAACAAGAGTCCAGGCAATCTCAATCAAAATAGATTTAAGGAGAGAATCACTTTTCTTTCTTTTCTCCCACTTGCAGGTGTGGGTTTTTTGCATCTATCTCAAATGAGAAGCAGAGCTAGACCCCAAACTGACCCAAAATCAGCAGGTTGTGACAAACCTCCCTTTGGCCCCCTCTCTGCCGCCCTCAGAAAGGATCCTTTGTGCCAGGCTCTCACGGGTGCCTCAGCACCATGGTTTTAACTTTCACTGACACAGTCTAGAGCCAATGGGACCCTCATCCTACCATGGACAGGAAGAAGGGGAACAAGCTGAGAGAAATAGCTCAGTTAAGCCTAAATGAAATGCGCTGCCGTGATTGAGATTGCTTAGACTGGTCAACACTGGCTAACAGTAGCCTTCAACTGATACGTCTAAAAGGACATGGAGGATGTGAGAGGAAGGAGTTGACAAGGTAAAGCTGTCTTTAAGATACAGTATATTGTTTTGGTTCTAGCATGCATGCATACTAACCGACACTGTGGCATTGTAGAGACGATGATGTGGGCGAGGAGGAAGGGAAAGACGAGGGCAGGGGGAGAAAAGGGAATACTCTTGTTAGAACATTTCAAAACTTACACAGCAAGCAAGAAATCCTTATTTTAGCCTAATTTTAATTCTGTGCTGTATTATCTGTTCAACAGAAAGCAGAAACATGATTTTCTAGGTGGAGATACTTAATTCTAGACATACTGACGATATATTAGACATAAAATGTAGCTTTCTTTGTTGCCTTCGGGATTGTTTTCTTTTCACTCATACCGTCTTCAAAAGATAAAACATATAAAGTAAATAATAAAACAATATTTGCTTCCTCATAACCTACAAGCGGTCTAAAATGTCTCAGCCCAGTCTAAATTAGGAGCTGGAGGCCATGTGTGCTTTAACAAACTCAGTGAATCACTGTAACCACCGAGGTGCTCTAACTATGTAATGTATGTCTATGCTTGGGAAACTGCAGCATTCCAGATATGAAAGCTGCAGCTTAATAACAGGCCTGAACTGGCTGCCATATGCCCTCTGGACTGGAATATTTTGTCTGCCAGTAAAAACAAAGCAAGATGTAGGTAATTTCCTTTGACATTTGCAACTGTTCTTTGTAGCTCAGCTCTTTGAAGAAAAAAAAAGAAGTATTATTTAGTTTGGCATATTAATAGTTTTCTTCTCTGGTTTATTCACTTTGCAGGTGAGCATCAGCTCCTCCCTGGGTGGTTTGGAGATAATGTCTGAGACTGGAACAGCTGGGACCTCCCTATGAACTCAGACATGTCATGTCAAATTTAATCCAGCAGGTGGCATACTAGAGCGCAATGTGAGACAGCCTTCTTCCTTTCCATTTTCATCATATAATGTAAAAGATGCACCACATCTTAAAGTTAAGGGAATCGTTTTTGGTCTTTTAAATGTTTTTGTTTGTTTTGTTTTTGTGGATAATTTTCAGTTATTCAAATAGTGAATTATAAATAAATATAAGATATATTAACTAAAAATATAGATATATATTTTATATTCTGGTAACTCGATGCTTTATCTGCATTTCTCTTTCCTAAAATGTAGATTTTGGCTTAGTGGGGGGAAAAAAAGTCAAATTCGTGCCAAATTGGAGTTTGGCCCTATGACCACAAGGTGGCGACATTGCAACGTGAAAAACGCAAAAGTGGCCTTTCTTGGCCGGGTGAGTGGAACAATGTGTCCAACGCCCCACAAAAGCTTTTCATCCTGCCTCTCTAAAAAAAGACAGTGGAAAATACCGCATCTTTAGTTCAGCATGCAATATAACAGGGAAGGGGCGTTATTAGGAAGATCTCACCCATTTGAAATACTTTTTTTTTAACTTATCCATTAAAGAAAAACAACTAATCATGTCCTATTGTATCCTTTGATAAAGTGAAGAATCCTCTGTCCGTTGAGTTAAGGTTGACCATCATCATGGAAGTCCCAAACAAAAACCAGTCGAAAACATCCTCAAGCAGCTGGGACCCAGGGAGGGGAAAAAAGCTTAGATCCATCACAGAGAAAGAGTAGACAATCAAAACTTACATTGGCATGTCGTTAGGTATAAAGTTACTGCAAGCAGCAACAGAATCCGAGTATCCACAAAGCTGAGCATGTCTAAGCAGACATGCAGACTCCTTGTGCCGCAGAGCCCCTGACTTTAAACCACCTTTAAGCAGGCATACAGTTGTGGTGACAAGAGTTACTCCAAACTTTGCAGATGCCTGCTGCCGTGATGCTAGAATAATAAAGATCTATCAGGCCTATTTATATGGCAGGAGGGTCCCTGGTCTGCGTGTCAAAAGTCGGCCCGTCAACCAATGAGAGAGGAGAAACCCAATCTGACTCCCATCCCTCTGCAGTTTGGAGGCAGTCATGTAGTCCTGCATCTCCCTGCCTTTTCCCCTCTCCAACAGAAAAGAGTTTGGCACAAGCTTTGGCGATGATGACGAGTGCAACGTTTTAATTAGATCCATTCTTTTTGAGGACGTGGACAGCGTCGAGGTTTATAAGGCAGAGGAAGGCCTAACTTTACTCTTTTCTTACAGAGCGTCGGTGCGGCGACCAGGCCAGTGCGTAAAAGGGCAATGCGCGCTGATTTGTGCGTAAAATGCGCCAAAAACACGACGAGGGTTGGTGGGGATGTTTTACCACCAGGAAAAACTTAGTCAACCTCTTCTCGGATTCTGGTTATGCTTTATGTTGTTTTATTTTTTGGCGTTATCTGTTTAATTCTAGACCGGACGTTTGCGTCGTTACGCACGGAGCTGGAGTCTTATTTTGTAGTTGATTTAATTGACCTGAGATGTAAAGTGTTTTGCAACATTTAACCATTTATCTCAGGAATATTTAACCTTCAACTACTGAGCATTTTATATCAAGTCCACTTAGACAAACTTGAGTTTTTCATGTTTGGAAGTTTAAATAATAATACCTTTTGAGAATCAATGCAGCTTTCTCTCTGTTATAACTCTGTCGGAGGATGCAGTGTCTCATGCACAATGCTGGGAGAAACTTCAGAGTAAATGCAGATGTGAAGAAGAACTACTTTCCCTCCTTCTTTTGCTCTCTCTTTGTGCAGCTCTTTCCTACCCACATGACCAGACATGTTATAGGCTTCACTACCACTCCAACAATATCCAGGGCCCCATCAAGCACTTTACAGCTCATTCCAAGTCATAGACTGCTGAACAAGAATAATTATGTATATTTTGCAATTATGGCCCCTTTAAATAAAAAAAAAAGCTCAGATGCTGTGATTTGGTCACACCTTTTTGCCTAGACACAGTTTTTGTAATTGAAAAGATGAGGTAGTCTCTTGATTATTGTCGGTATTATCATCCCCTCCTACACCTAATGGAGAAGATTTTTCTGCCTGAAACCTTCTTACTCAACCTAACATCAATTCAGCTCCAGAATGCTTTTCAAATTATACCATTGACTTCAAAGACGGCTTCTGTGCATCAATGTCTCCCAAACGAACGTCTCAGATTTACTTGTGAAAATTATGGGAAGGTTTCAGACTTTGTCATACCGGTCACATTCCTCTAATAAAAACCTATATTTCTGTTATTGTATTGTTTTCTGCCCCCAACCTTTGTACTCTAAACAAGGCAATTGAGGGAAAACCCTTTTGCAAGATTTTCGTTTGAAGTTTTTGCTTGAGTTAAACCTGAGAATTACAATAAAAAAAGAAGGAGAAGAAGAGGTGGAGCAAATGAGATGAAATGTGTTTTGAAGATGGCAAGGCTCTCAGTCGCTGCAGAGCTTTACTGAAGCCCTGAAGTGGGTGGAAGAGACCAGACAGACAGCCCAAGGAAATAAAGATGGCTGAAAAGTTCCACATCATCAGACTTCAGAGCTCTTTGCAGAATGAATACTGTACTACTTCACTCTTTTAGAGTGTTTGAGATTTAAAACAAAAAAATATAAACAGATTTGAGTGGCTGTGGGGAAAAAAAAATCTCCAATAAATTAATGTAATGCTTTTGTTTTAGACCACAACAGGTTCTATCATCTAACTTTTCACAATAAATAAACAATCCGACTTTTCCACTTTTATCTTTTACAGTCCTGCAAACTGAGCCTGCGTACAGATCCTTTAATATTCACACTTTAAGCTTCATCCTCACTCACCTCTGTCTCGCTGTATATCTCATAATTACGCTGTGAGATAGAGATGATGCAGCACACTTATTACATATCATGACTCTGATAAGGAACAGCAAACTTAAATCAGCAGGATTAGTCATCAGATCAAATTGAGTGATAATATCAAAGAGGTAAAAAAAGAAATGTTTGATGTTATCTTGTCTGCCTGTGGCTTTGGAAAGATGCAGTGTTATGTACGGTAGTCACACTTGAAACAAACTACTGTGTGGATAGAAAAGTGATGGAGGAAGTAGAAGGAATATTTCCATCTGTACCTAAAAAAACACATTCCTATTTGCTGAAGAGGGAAGACTTCCTAAATCCCTATCACAGCTACAAAAAGTGTTTTATTAGTGTGCTAGGTCAAAGACCACTCAAAATTAATTAAGTTTAGTTTTTAAAATATATAACAACAGAAAATCTCAAACTAATATGCATTTTATTCACCTCCATCATCAATAGACCACCTGAAAGACAAACTCTAACATTTCTTTGCAAACTGCTACAGACCAGTAGGGCTAAACTGATAGCAAGAACGTTAGATTTTGGTAAAAAAAAAGAAAAAAAAGGAAGAAGTCACTAATGGCTTTGGTTTAATCTAAATTACTAGATTGCAGCTTTTCAAGGTAGTTGCTCCAGCACAGAGGTTCTGAAAGTGGGCCCCCATAGAGGGGGGACTTAGAATTGGACAAAGTGATCCAGAATGTAAACTGTAGGAGAAAAGGAAACCAGTCATGGTGCGAAAGGCATTGATATTGAAAGGTTCATTGCAGTGCAAAATAAATAAAAATGTTGCAAAATGCCGTAGAGCATTAAAAGGGATTATATATATATATATATAAAAAAAAAAGAAATCAGCAATGTCGATAGTGCAGATATGATGTTCACAAATCTAATGCAGAGTCTAGGTTAGAGTTTTTCGACAGTGCAACATTTTGATCACAGTTGGGAAATGCTGTTGCAGAACCTGCTGGACCTGCATTAATTGCTGCGAAGCATCTGCCCAGAGGGCAGCAGGGAGAACAGTCCATGGTGGGGGTGTGAAGGGTTATTGATGATGTTACAGGCTCAGGACACACAGTGCTGGGATGAAATGTCTTTTATGGAAGGAAGAGGAGCCCTGATGATCTTCTCTGCTGTTCTCACTACTCTTCTCACTTTCTCCCAGTCTGAGGCGCTGCAGCCTACACACCACACAGTGAGACAGCTGGTCAGAACGCTTTCTATGGTGCTTCTGTAGAAGGTGGTGAGGATGGGTGGGGGGGGGTGGGCTCTCTTTATCCTCCGCATGAAGTTCAAGTGCATCTGTGCCCTTTTGACCAGTGAGGTGGTGTTTAGAGCTAAGGTGAGGGTGTCTGTGATTTGCACCCCCAGGAATTTGGTGCTGCTCACCACCTCTACATCTGAGCTGTTGATGAGCAGTGGAACGTGGTTAGGCCAGTTTTTCCTGAAGTCAATAATGATCTCCTTCATCTTCTCCACATTCAGGATCAGGCTGTAATAAATGCCAAGGCAAATAACTTGGCAACCACCGCCTTAATGGAAGGTAAACCTCTTTAAGGTTTTTGTCAGGATTACCCTTCATTTAGCTCCATCCATCCTGTACTTGCAGAAGAAAGAAACACTTCCACAGCATGATTCTGGGGATGCATTATCAGTGCATTGTATAGCTTTTACTTTCTAAGGCGATCTTGTTTCTTTCCAGTTCATGATTATTCTTTCTGTTTACTAGTGTTTTCCAACAAACTACTGAAGTCTGTTGAATAACCACAAATATACCTTTCATTGTTTTATGTTCAAAGTGCACAGGTGGACTAGGGGTGGGTATTGGCAAAGAAGTCACGATTCGATTCGAATCACGATTCACATGCCACGATGCGATTCTATCACGATGCATCACGATACTTGAAATATTGCGATGCATTGCAATATTTTCACTGAACACTGTAGTAAAAGGATACAGCCCTTACCAGTGGCTGACTGGCTGGGTATGATCTGGATAGTGTCTTCAATTGATACATAACTGAAAGCAACCGAATTCATACATAGCTGTATTTATTGAAATGACTTTTGGAGGTGTTGCCATGAAAACAAATACTGGACAGAAATATTACTATTACCGGCGTGGACACACTGACAAAAAGATCTTAGGATTCATCAAACTTAAAATAACAAAATAAGGATAATCAGTGCCGTTTACATGGCCTCAGTGGTCCTTCAAACCAATGAAACGAAAACATTAAAATGTTTCAACTTGAAAACTGAAATGATAAAAAAAAAAAAAAAAAAAAAAAAAATTTTTTTTATTTTTTTTTTTTTTAATAATCGATTCTTGCCTTCAAGAATCGATGCAGTAGATCACAACAATTAGAATCGCGATGCATCGATATGACGATTATTTTGCACACCCCTAAGGTGGACTCTGTCTGCTCCACTCATAGGAATCTGAAAGAGCTTAAGCTGTTATCTGCCTTCTGTGAGGTTCTCAAACTCATGTGCTGTTTAGACATAGGAAGGAAATATGACACAAAGTAAAGAAAAACAATATGGAGAGGAGGAAAGATTATTTCAAAGAAAATGTAGAGTATTTATATTGTGAGATAAAAAGTAGCCTCTCTCCTAAAGGCACTAATTAAAAGGGGCACTGCATGTGCACACAGTGGCAGACATGCAGGGGCGGATGAGGTTTTTTAAATTACAGCCTATATTCCAGGCGCTTCTTTTAATTCAGTCTCCTTCATGAAAACTCTAAAGAAGCCTTCTTCACAGGAGAGAAAGTGTAACGCTCTTTCTGTTTTATCATATCTTTTGATCGTTCAACAGATCCTGGCTTTTGTTCTGATGTTTACTGTTAAAATGAGTTATTTTTCAAATTTTTCCATATCACTGATCATTTACCGGTTAGTATTTCGCCAAGGTGGCATTTAAAATAACGGCAAAAAAAACGCTGCTGTTTAGAAAGGAAAGAAAAAGTAACGCTTTGTTCAAATAAGATAATAATACATTGAGTTCCTGTTTTCAGTATCACACCAACTCACTGAAATGTTTGTCTTTTGTTAGTGTTTGTTGTTTGCACACTACTGCCTGAACAAATGCTGTAATTT